TGCAGCCCAGCACTGGATTTTTCCCTGTCTCTGTGGCTTGAAGAGTGGAAGGCAGGAAGAAGTAATGTGATTCACTTGAAGGATTAAATGCTGCTTTTTGAAGGCATAGGTCACAAGAGTATTTTGGTTGATTTTATCCTTATTGAGAAGTGAGAACAGATTTTTACTTCTGCCATGATCTTAGATTTGAAGCTAACTCACCTTTTGCATCTTTCAAGTAATTTGTGTTCTGAACATAAATTTCAGCTTTTCATCAGATTAGTATAGCATAGATATGTGAGAAACAATTTAATGAAATCTGAAACCATTAACTGGGCAAAGGATTCAGACTATAATGTGGAAGGTGTCATTTTGCATTGATATTTCACAACTGCAATACTGTAAGTTATACTATTAAAGAGTCTTGCCCAGCATATGAAACCTGAGTTTTCTTCTTCTAGGATTTTGAACAACGGCAAACTTACATTGTTGTTAGAAATTTGAGCCTGGGGTGGACTGGCAGAAAAGAATAATGGAGACTCGCTAGAAACTCTTGCATAATTTTCCATGAGAAACTGGAACTGATACAGTAAAGTGTTGATTTATGGCCTTTTCAACTTCTGATCTCATTAAATCAGAGTCAAATCATGCTGTAAACACCTATTCTCTCAGAACAAAAGCCTGTTACATAAAAAGTGTATGGAAAAAAACTCTAAAACTTATTAAAAAGGGAGGCGAGCTTCTCAACTCTTAGAAACGAAATTTGTCCTGATAACCTAATAAAATTGTGGAGAATAATGGCTTTCATCTTGTATAAAATGATAACTTCTTTGTGGTTGCTTGGATACTAAAATGTCAGTTTCTTCTGAGTACTGAAAGTGGTCTGCTCAGCTCATTCTTCCATTTCTCTAAATTTCTTCTACAAGTAAATGCATTGCATAAATTTCCCTTAAAAGTGCAGTGTACTTTATTTTTCTGTGTGACAAGGTCTGATTACATTAATGCAGTGAGAGATAGTGAAGCTTCTGCTGAAGCGTGCTTGGTTCACTTTATGATTAAGCAGTTAGACCCATTCCATGGATTTTAATCTGTGAACGTTCACTCCATCTTGGTTTTAGTCTGTTAGTGATGTACATAATAAACAGATTTTCAGAGAGTGGAGAATAATTTTAGGATCTGCATTTGGTTCACTTCTGTTACACAGATGGGTTTGCATGGCAAGTATTTATATTCATCCTACAGAGAATAGATCACTGCTTCCTTGTTGTTCTGTAGTGAGCCTTCTCCTGCTTCACCTCTGCTTTCACCTCCGGAGTGGACATTGGTCTGCATGTTGTGTAATACTAGTAATGGAACTTAGATTTTACAAAGCTCATTTGAGTTGTAAATCTAAAAGCACTTGGTGGCAGATGAGACCTTCCTGTTCTTCAAATGAGAAGACAGGTACAAAAGGGACTTCAATGATTTGCTGAAGTTTGTGCTGCAAATTAGTGACAATAGAAAAGGAATCTGCCATCAACTGGACTGTGCTATGATGGTAATGCAGTGCTGCCTCTTTGGATTTGTTGAGTTTTATGGACTGTGTTTTGTAATGTATAAAAGGACTTTTTATGATTAGTCTGTAAGTAGTGAAAGATAGATATATTTGCTTTCTTGTGGTTCGAAGTCCTAGTGATCCTTGGCTGGGTACACTTAAAGCTACAGCTTTAGCAGTAGTGTGGTTAACTTGGACTTGCACTGTTGAGGGCCCTTTTTAGTTCTGTGTTAAATATCAGATGTATTAAATGGCTACTTAAGTGTCCTTGTAGTCCTTTTTTTAAAATATGATAAAACTTGATGTTTTTCTCTAGATCCCTTCTGAAAAAAAAAAAATTAACTAGAAAATTTAAGCATTTAATCTGAAACAAATTGTTGAGAAAAGGCAGTTACCTTTTGATCTTGCTATTGAAGGGACTTAATTTGTTAGCTATTCCTTCCAAGACAGGAGGAACCAAATGCAATTATTTTAATATGAATAATTGCAGTATGAATAACATACAATTATTTTAATATGCTAATGCAAATATGTAAACAAATCCTTTTATTTTTTCAGGTTAATATCTCTAAAAGTCCTTAACAGTATTGTATTGCTGGGGAAGTCATGTCAATATGTAAAGGAGGCAAAAATGGAGGAGAAATTATTCAATCCTGTCCTGACTGCCACCCCAGGGAAGACAGCTGGCAAACAGCAAAGCATGTTTAAATCTTCCCAAGGTAAGCCTAACTGCCTTGTTTTGTTTTCAACTGTAAGGAAAATTGCTTTCAGACCAAATTTAATATTAAACCAGATGTATGACATTGCTGCACAGTAGCCCTGTTGCTGGACCTTAATTCTGCCGTGTCACAGCTGTGAACACAGGTCTGTAAATGTAATAGAATTTATTGCTTTTAGTTCATGCATCTTTTGGATATAAATACTCACCTCTCTGATAAGATCCCACCCTGATATGTGGAGTAATAGAAACATTAGAATAGCAGCACACTTGTGTTTTGTTTGAAAATCATCATTGTAGAATGGTTTGGGTTGGAAGGGACCTTTAAAAATCATCTGGTCCAGTCCCCTCTGCCATGTCACTACACAAATAAGTAAATATTTACACATCCTCTCTGGCACTGCTGAAGTTTAATAAGGTAGCAATCTATGCATTTCTTATGGAAATTAATGTAAAACATGGCACACAATAGATATAATTACTTATAATTGTCATGAACACATGAATGAAAACCTTTATGATATCCAAATAGGAATTTCGGCTGATGTTTGCTCGCTTCATTTCCAGTCTGTGAAGCATGGTTTTCTTGTATGGGTCCTCAGCATTGGCACTTAATATGTAATTGGAATGGGGCATTATTATATTGCTGTGACATGTTATAGAAGGAAACAGAAACCTTCATTGTTCCAGCCAACTGAATTGGATTGTGTATCTTCCTCTGTGAAGAGCTCAATGAAAGCCCTAGAGAACTTAACAGTGAGGCTTTTATTGTGTTCACTCTTTTGCTTGCCAAAGACTTGAACAGCTTGAAATGTAAGGTGCTTATTAGTCGTCATAGTGTCTCGCCAGCAATAGTAGAGTTAAGAATCTGTCAGTGTTTCAGTCATAGATCTCTCACCTGTGTCAAATCAAATCATGCAGAAACTTGATGCAGACGTTTATTTTTAAATAGCTTACATTCATAGATTTGCTTTAGTTTTTCATGAAAGAATACAATATGAATCGATCTGAATACCTTTTGCATTTCATTAGTCAACTATCATAATAAAGTTTTAGTAAAAGATTCTAGAACTACACTTGGGTATGAGACTTAATAAGCTGTACTTACTTAGATTGACTCTTAAACTTACAATAAATAAGTCCTGAAGACTATTTTTAGCTGAAGCAGCAGCAAGTTTACCAGGTCGGTCAGCAGAGACGCTTATTTCCTCAAATCGAAAGACTTTGGTTTAAAAAGTAGCAGTCAAAAAGCTTTTGCTGATTTTTATTTAGAATATTCTTAACTTCACTGGTGATGAAAAAGCTCGATTTTTAACAGTTCTTCAGGCTTTTTTATACCTTTTAATAGCTCGCTATTTACTAAAAACCTCAATGGTGTAAAATTATGATTTTTTTTTTTTTTTAACCGTCCCCAGCTTCTGTGTGTCTGCATTATTACTGCTGGGCTCTGCAATATTGATTAATCCTTGTGCCCCACTTATCAGGTTTTTTTCAATACAGTCTCTCAACCTATCTCTTACTAGGATGAGGGTGAGGGAATTAATCTGGTCTGCTTTCTATCATCTTACAATGTGAGTCAATTTATTTTCTTAAGAGTTTCTGCCTTGTCCTCAGAAACAGTTTAAAATTTTGAAGGATAAAATTTTATACTTGCTCTTCAAGGATGGAACTTCTAATTACTGATAATCATTTTTAGGCTGACCAGCTTTCTCTGGAAGCTGCTGGATTAGAAAATACCTTTGTAACGAAGTTCTACAATTAGCATTACTTGTCTCCTTTATCGATGCAAGTTTAGTACTTTTGACTTGCGTAAGATTGTAGAGAATAATCCATCTACCTTCAAGTAGTAGGTGGTATACTGTGAAGAGATGCTATACAGAAAGAAGTTTTTGTAGCAATTTGGATAATGCTATGATTTCTGACGAATAATGTTCCCTTTGGCTGGTCTGCAGTACTCTCCACATTAGTCAGATTGTTTCAGATTCCTTTAAAAATGGTAACTCAGTCTTTACAAGGAGATAGTAAATAAGAAAAATGTATTTCCTTGTCATTTGCTTGTGCATTTTAATTCTTTAAGTGTTTTAACAAAATGTGGAAACAATACGTGGATATTACTTACAAATATCTTAGGTTAATGGAGCCAGTGTTCAATTCAGCTGAAATAAGAGGCAGGAATAAAAATAGGCATCTTCAATAGAACTACTTTAGGAGCCAGTGCTATTAGTGTTTAGCAGTGCACGAGCCATTTATTAGCTGTCCCTAGAGAAGCCAGGTTTATTGTACATATGTAGAGGTTTAGGCACATCTAGTTTCTGCTACAGAGATTCCTTTTCTTCAATTCAATAGAAAGTATCTGTGTGATTCACATAGTGACTGTCAAAAATCTTTTTGCCTAAGCCAACAAAAATGAGTATGTAAACTAGAAGAATGTAGTTTATGTCCTAATATCTGCTGCTTATGCTTTTGCTCATCATTGAAATTCTGTAGAATTCATTTTCTATCCTTTTACCAAATTAGGAAAGGAAATTTCTTATGGTAGAATGAAGGAGAGGTGGTGGCTTCCACAAAGCATTCTTCTGTTGCTTCTGCTGGTTTGATGTAGCACACTTTTTCAGGACAGCTTTGGAGGAATCTGGGTGTTACAGATGCATCAGTATGTCTGTGTTACATTAATGATTATCTTTGTAATTGTCTTCTATTCCAACAGGAATTTCCACAGATGAAAATGGATCTACATCAGTTACCAGTCAACCTGTGCATCAGAAGGAGAACACGCCGTCTTTACTTGTAACAAGCAATTCTGATCAATTTCTGACAACTCCTGATGGAGAAGAAAAAGATATAAGCCAAGACAGTTCAGAATTAAAACACAGGTCTTCAAAGAAAGACTTGTTGGAGATAGACAGGTTTACTATTTGTGGAAACAGAATTGACTAAGATTTATTTTTTTTTTTTTTTAAATCAATGTGCTAAGGATACTGAGCTGTTGGGACAGCAGAAGCTACCGGAATGGACAGTTGCCAAAAAAGGCACATAAATATTTATTTAAAAACTTAAATTATTAATGGCAAAAAATATAAATTTCTTTCTACAAGTAACTTGACTTGGTATCTGGTCAGGTCAAGTAAGTGATCTTTAACTTGCCTCTTGGAAAATGTGGTGGATCGTGAGTCTCTAGCCTGGTGGCAGAGCTGCAGTATCACTTTTCTGGAAAATAGACTGGAAAAAAAAGCATAATCCTGTTCTGCATTATGAAACCATGCTTCCAGAACATACTACTTTTCATGAAGGTTCCTCCAGTGTAAGGATATTCCTGGAAATGTATGACAACTTGACCAGGAGCTTGCCTTGCCAGTTACCTTGTTTTATTAAACATCTGCAAGCAGAATTCAAAACTTGTGCTTATATCAACAAACGCATAAAGCATTGGTACATAAAACAGTAAGTCAAGAGAGTTATTCTTGTCAACAAAAACCTTTTCAAAATGTATCATGAAAATCTTGTAATCGGAATAAAATTTTGCCTTTAAATGAAAGACTTACTGCATACTATTTTATCTAAATACTAAACACCAAGGAAAGATCGCTGTAAGGAGGGTTCTGCTTAACTGAGCAAATATGAAGCATATTAATTCTTGTGTTGTGTGTCCTACAAGGCAAACTATTTATAAAATTATTTTTAAAAGCTGAGGATTTTTTGTTGCTATAGGAAAAAATAATAAAGACGCACTTCTATATGTCGAGGAAAGGCAGTGTTAATTGCAGCAAGCAAGTGTTGTGTTGGAACTATTTGTATGGCATTAACGTAGCAGAAAAGAATATTGCACTGTATTTTGGGGTTAACTGATAAAGATGACATCTGTGTATTAACTTGCCTATAAAAGCTCATACTGACAATCAAATCAGAATTATCCATTTTAATTGGTTGGTTTTAGCCAAGCTTCAGTAGATGGACTAGATGTATAAAGATCACTTAAGCATCACAACGCATCTTAATTTCTGGTGTGAGATGCAGTTGTGGGAGAATTGATGAAAGATGGTTTGGAATCCTCAGACCAAGAATGGAATAAATTTGAGCTCAACTCTTAGGCTGGAGAATTAAATCAGAAGAGACCCTTTAGTAAATGGTAAATTCTTCCTATGTTGTTGTTAAAACATGGCATTAACTTCAAATGCCTTTCAGATATGTAAGGAAGCACCAGTTTCGCTTTCCAAGGGAAAGTATCAGTGCTGAACAAATGAAGACAAAATTTGGTAGTTTCATAATTTGTCAGAGTGGGAAAGCCAAAGTTCATCTGCTTTATGAACATGTAAAAGTTTAATGTATATGCTAATCCTTGAAGCTTGCAGGACTACAGTAATATAGCAAATGGAGACAGTTGGACAGAGTTATCATGTATCTGAGCAGACTTGGTAATGAGACAGCTTTGCCATACAGGTTAGCGTAGTCTGCTCTGGTGGGAACTTCTTGCTGCAGTGTTTCAGCCTCTCCTCTCCCATCGAGAGTAGCTGGAGTAATGGCCAAAATCTGTGGTTACTGTTCAGGGATGATACTAAAACGGAGAGGACTTGTGCCGGGGAAAGATCTGAAAATCTTTAATTTTTGATGTATTTTATACTAATTGGAGATGTTCACACATTGAAATTCAGATTATCTGTCAATTTGGTGTATCTTATTTTTGAATTATTTAGCACTTGCTAAAGAAAGCTTGGAATTGCTTTCATTTATTTTTTTTTTCTGTTGAATGACATTCTGTATCAATTTTATAAGTGCATCTTGTGTGAAACTCAATAAAATTCAATTTTGTAATATTTGTTTAAAAAAGGAAAAGTACAGCGTCGACATTTCTTTCTTAGTATTCAGAATTGGTGACCTTGCAATGTGTTTATGGTATTAAATTCTGATTTCCATTAAGTAAGATTCTTACAAATGTGGGACGCAAATGTGCACAGGAACTGGGTTATCAATGGCTTTACTTCTGATTTATTTCTGTAGTAGTTGGTTATTGCCACGCATAGGAAGAAGGTATTGATGCCAAGCCACTCCTAATTTGTTTTTTAAAGGCAAAAGCCTTGTAAATGAAAAAATACTGTGTCTTAAGGGAGTTGTAATTTACGTAGTCAGTTGCTGCAATTGGACGAGTTACACCTTCACAGCAAAGCCGAATGTAACTGCAGTATAAGCTTAGGCAAAGCCTTTCCTGAGCACATGACGGTAACAGTGGAAGGGCAATGGCTACCCGGGCTCAAGTCCAGGTCCTGGCCCAGATACTTGATTGAGGCTGGGAGCCTCCATTGCCTTGTTTCTACACCTGAATTGTGGTAGCTAGATCTAAAGCAGTATGGCTGGGCTTTGGGATATGGCTCTTACATCTCCCTTTGTTGTGTAGGCATAACTTTGTTGACCTAACGGATCGCAATAATTCAGAGGTATACCTAAGGCACTGCTTATAGAGGGCACTGCGAATGCAACACTTCCCCTTAAACTCTCTGAAAGTCTGGTAGGGGCACAACTGGGCATGAAATTTCATTGTTTTATCTTGCTCCAAGCTCTCTAATTCCTTCAGTGTCTAGCAGTGCATTTTTAATGAAAGGTCACAGCTGCTTCTGTGACCCTGGGTGGTCTTCGCAGAACTCTGGAGGTGGCTGAGGGGGAACAAGCCACAAAAAAACCCACCCAACATCAACAAATTTCTCATCTATAGATAGTCTTTTAATTCTTTAGGTTTTCTCAAAAACCTGTCTTAACAGTGGAATAAATAAGAGTCGGAGGTTAAGTAGTGAATAGATTGAGTTCTTCAATTGGTAAAGCCCTCCAAAACCAAAATCTGGGCAGCTACGATGCAAACAGTGATACTTCAACTGAAGTCACAGTTGCCAAATTAATTCCAAAAGCACACACTGAGTACAGCGTATATTCATAATTAGTATTATTCATTATGCGAGCATTAAGGAACAACTATGTTTTCCATAGGATTATTTAATTAATCTTTTGAAGCCTTTTGGATGTTCATCAGCCAAGCAGAATTTCCCCTCAAGCAAAGTAGTTTTACAATCACAAGTACACTGTTAATTTACTCGGCTTCTTAATTTAGAGTGAGTTTGTTGAAACTTTTCAACTTTGTCTTGGTTTTTTGTGGTGCAAAATTTTCTATATTCTAAGTGTTCATTTAGAAGTCAGTGTTTGCAAATCAGCATAGTTCTTAAGGTCACTTGTAAAGCCAGTGTTTGCCTGGTTGTGGCTACTACACCAGCTCAGCTGTTGGGCTGCAATTCTGAATCTATTCGTGGATGAATGCAACTTAATTGTAGCACAAATGTAAATCAAACTATGCGAAACTCCTGAAACACTGCAACATTTTGTCTAACAAACTGGGCTACTCCATCGTGAGTAAACTAGGAGTTGTACCAACTGCATCAGTGTTGGGTAATGAGGGCTTCAGAAATGCTCTTCACAATTACTAAACAAAGTTTGCTCTTAAAACTTCTTCAAGAGTAATCGATCGTTCTTAGAAAATTGGACTGTGTTGCTTTTGTTGACTCCAAGGAAGCAAATAGTTTGGTGTAAGTACTGCGCTGCTAGCCAAGGGGCTGTAACAAATGCTGTGAAAGCTGTGCAACAGGACTGACTTTATCTCATGGAAGTTTTTCTGCATGTAGGGGTGTGAGATGCTTAGACTATGAAGGCTGTCAAAAACACCTGATGTGTCATTTCTGTATGTCTCTTTGTTTAGGAGAATGGTATCTTTCATGAGCCATGCCAGCTAAGCCTGAGCCTAGCTACACTTTTCTTAGGACTTAAGTATCTGTTAAACTCTTGATTTAGAAAAAATGCTGCCAACAGAGTTGTAAGATGGATCATTAATATGTAATATTAAAAAACACTTTTGTGAGCTCATAGCTCTAATAACAGGAAAATCCAAAATGATAATAGGTTTTTAAAAATATTTCTGTTTTGCCCAAGACAGTGTTACTGTGTTTGTGATGAAATAATCTCAGATTTTAAAATCTGCACTTACTGTAAATACGCTGCCCACCTGTACCTCACAGCTACTGCTTTAGGCTTAGACTGTTATTTCTTCTGTTCATTTACTGCTTTCTACTAAAGTAATGCTGTCAAGCAGAGCCAAGGTTTGACTGTTAATTGGAGGCAGTTCTGTGTTACAGCTGGACTGTAGAAAGTGTTGAGTGTCCAGGAGAGAGAGGAGTCGACTCTGTCAGTACAAAGCTGTGGGTTGCAGCAGCACTACCTTGGGTTCTAATATTTTTAGGTTGACTTTAATGCAGTTCTATTGAAAACTTTGCTAAAATAGATCATGCATTGAACAGGCAAACACATTGCATGTATGAAAGTAGTAAAAACAATATAATGTATTATGGTTTTGTATCAGAAATTACTTTGATGTGAGAGTGATGTTGCAAGATAAGTATATTTTTAATAGAGCAATTTTTGGTGTTCAGGGAAGGCTCAGGTTTTATGTTGACGCTTCTCCCCACCCACGCCCATTTTTTTGGCCAAAAGCAGTAATAAGTTTCTGTGTATGTTGACTGCTTTGAGTATCAGAAAGAGTATGTTCCTGTTATGCCCAGTCCTGAGAGATGCTTCTACCTGCTGTTCCTGTTGAAAATTAAGTAAGTATCAAGGTACCTCAGGAATCACTGACTCGATGCTGACAGTTTAAAATAGGTAATTCAGAGGAGTGACATTGTGGAGCCTGGGGAAGTGATGCCTCTGATTTACTGAGAAGCGTGGCAATGAAATTTAAAATCCAGCATTGGACAGCACATCATTCGGCTCGGTACACTACATGAAAGCGGGACGGTATTCGAGTTGATGCTAGCAATAAAGGCAGCAATATAGCCGGCGGCCAGCTTCTTTCTACAGCCAAGGCAGCAGGAGCTGTGCTAAACTAGTCTGTTCTGGAAACAGTTCTTGAAGTACCACATGTATATGTATCTGACCTCGAAGCCATGGGACCTTGTTTTCGGGTCAGTTACCGCTCTGTGCCCTTCAGACTCCTGCGAGGCATAGCTGTAACGAAAATGAATCTTGCGTTGAGGCTTGGCACTAGCTACTGATTGGAGACAGTGTCCTTAAAGCAGTAGCGGAGAACCCACCTACTAGGCTGATCTGAAAATTTGAGTTGTCTTTAGTCACTTAAAATTACTGTGACATTAGAGGCGAGCAAGTTCTGCTGCATCTGAGGTAATGGCTTATGGTGCCTGTTCTGCCATTCCGTGACCACGTGCTGTTTTGCCTCCATGTGGGCAGCAGTAAATCCTCTAGCTAGTTTTTGTGCTAGACCCTCATTTCTTAAAAGCGGGGACCAAAGCCTCAGTGGATATTTAATAAGTGACTCTTTACAGCAGATGTTCTCTTAATGGCATCAGAGTCATTTTGTGGAATTGATTTACCTGTTTCGTACATCTTGTGTTCAAAACGGCAAATTGCGTGAGGTTCAAGGTTCAAAAGTTTCAGCTTTGAATACACATACACATCATTTCTTTTATTGCTATTTATTTAATTGA